ATTAGGGGAATTGTTGGATGAATTTGAAAAAGTGCAGTTCCATTATAGTTTGCTATATCTTGCACTGTCATTAAAAAGCCCTAGTACCCACAGCATACCATTGACAAGTTAATTTCTTATGGACGTGGGTACAATTTGGAGTTGGGGAAGAAAAATGGGTTTGACAAAAAAACAGCTTTCCTGGCACCAAGGCTTCCTGAGCCATTGATTGACCTCTTGTAATTTTGAATTTTTGGATTCTTTTCCACTGGTTCATCCAGAAGTCGAACACTTGGTAAATTAAAAACCCAAGTCAGTAGAATAGAAGTCTGAAATTAGGACCTGGGGCAGTTTTGAGGGATGCGTATAGCTTTCATACCATAACCTTGGGTCCATAAACTGTCCACTTTGCTGGAATCTTAAATTTGGGATAACCAATCACCCCATCTCATTAATTCCATCCTTATTCACACCTTTCTGCATTATCGTAGACATAAACCATGTAAACACTGCTCACAGATTTCATTATCTTCTTTAAAATATCTCAGATCTTGTCCACCTGTCCTATTTTTTAGAACTTTTAGCTTTCCGTCTACTTCAGTAACACTAGAATTATTAAGTCACACCCTATGCCGTGACTTAATATAGCAGAGTCCTACAAGATATCTTAATAGTTCCATATACAAAATTAATGTAGCTCAGGAGAGTGAAACAGCAGGATTCTGTCTTCACAGTTTCTGTCTCCCCACGTAGATGTGTGATATTTCTTTTTTTTTGTGATATATATACAATAATATGTCTTTTAAAAGATCTGTTTCGTGTTCCGTTGATTTCAGGGAGATTTGGATAATGACCTAATCAGGCTTTTTACATTCAGATTCTGAGTATGTGAGTTTCTTCCTCTTAATTAGTACATTTTTATTAAACAACCTTTTTAGTTATTTGTCTTATTAAAATAAGCTGACTGATTAATTAATACACCAGTTGGAAGAAAATCAAGAATTTTTTTCTCCATCAGCAATGATTTCCATTTTTTAAAAACTCCTTAAAGATTAATGATAAAATAATAACATATTAACAAACAGACATTTCAAGGGAAACTCTGAGGACCAAAATAACTTTACCTTAATGAAGCAGTTTTGGTGTGTAGATCATGCACCTGCAGTCTTACTGCTCAATTTTCTGACATTTAGTAGTTAAATCACATTGTTTATGCAACCCTATTCACATCTGTCCTGGCTGAGACTCACACAGTCTCCCTATATACTTGCTGACATTTTTTTTAGCTTTCCTTGCTGTACAGTGTGTTTAATTCAGAAGTTATTGTCTCTTGCTCTGTTAATTGCCTGCTTGATTTTTGAAAATCCTCTTGCGTGTGAGTAACATGATTAAAGTTCAACTAACAGAACGGGAGAACTACTGAAGTCAACACTCTGTGCTGTAAGATCTGAATGAAAAAAAAAACATTTATTCATGAAGGCTGTGTGAATCACAGTCATGGGAGGCTAGGCTAGGGCTCCATAAATAGAAACAAAAGTGATTTAATTCCTAAATGGCAGAGAATTGAGCAGTGGGACTGCAGGGGCATGATCGTTACACGAAAACTGCTTTATTAAACTAAAGCTCCTTTGGAACTTAGCATGTCTATTAAATATTAAATTGATGGAATGTCCCAATCAGGACTGTATAAAGATGTAAAACCTAGGGTATTCTATAATAGCAATGGGTCATTAAGGACCAGATTGTAATCCTTAAGAGACTATGATCATGGCCCTTAATGTGCAACCATTAGTAAATTAGCCTTTTTATATAAATAAATAAAAAATCTTGCTTCTCTTTGAACTGAATGTTTTCGTAAGACAAGTATTATTATTAAAAAAAAAAAATACTCAGAAAATGCACTTTCTGGTTTCTAGGAATTTCTCAGTAGTTATTTTTAGCAGCTGTAAGCAATCATTGCTAATTCTTAGTCTATTTTCATATACATAAAACATTAGAATAAAATCACAACCTAAAACTGTCACAAAACTTTCAATGCGCTACGTGGTCCGAGATCTGGAGAGGAATCTGCATATTAACATTCGCAAGTAAACAGCCACGGAGATGGCTCTATAGCATTTTCTTAAATGCTGCTCCTGCAGAAATGTCATTTTCTCCTGCAAAAGCTGCTTCGCCAGAAAGATTTACAAGCCAAGCGGATCTGTCGGAATTAGAAATTAGTACTTTTAATTGTCAGGCGAAGGAAATCTGAAAACCAGCTGCTGTCGTTCATGTTGGGTTTTTTTTTTATCTCCCCGCGTTCTGCACGTGGTGAGATAAATCACTCTCAGCGGCCTAATAATCTTTCTAAAAATATCAGGGGAATTCATTTTTCACATGGGGGAATAAAAATGGCCATTACCATGGCCAATATTTTCGACGCTGCATAGGACGCAGCGTCGAAAATATTGTTAAGATAAATTCCCACCTTTTCACTGCGCACCTCGTTTATCAAAACCAACTGTATTTAAAACGATTTTATCTGCGATTGTGCGTGCAAGATTGATGGAGGACATCTTCCAGTTGGTTTTAATAATATAAATTCATTTTCCAGTCTTTAATAACACAGATCTTTATTTTTCACGACTTTGTTGCTAATGAATAGATTAAGTCACAATATGACGAATAGAGAGAGAAACATGCAGGTGCCGGCTGACCCCTCTACCCCATAATGTGCGCATGGTAGCAGTTCTGACAAAGTAAAATCTGAAAGAGTGCTTGCCCTGTGCTACACCTGGTGGGGGCTGCGGATGAAATAAAGTTATAGATTATAAAGCAAATGTGTGGCTTACTCAAGCACACTACCACACCGTATTGTTATGGGCAATACTCTCTTTGTGTGTTACTCAGTTTATGCTATTGCAAAGGTGTAACTCTCTGTATGTGGCTCTATAGGTAAATCGGGTCATGTATGGGATGTGCAGGTAACATATGATGTTTGTGTACATATGTGCCACAATGCGTGTTGTATCAAAGTTCGCATTGTTTGTGGGTTTGTCCAAGGATAAAACTTTGTTTCTGGTTTGTACAGGTGTATCCCACTACATGTGGGTTATGCAGGTGTATCACAAAATGTGAGTTTTTAAGTCTAATACTGTCCTTGCGCAGTGTTGCTCAGTTGTATTACACTATTTGTGCAGCAGTAAACTACTGTTTATGGTTTGTACAGGTATATCACACAGTTAGGTGGTTGTACATACAGGTATATTATATCGTTTCTTGTTTATACAGGAATATCACACTTTTTTTGGTTGTACAGGTTAATTGCAAGGTTGGTAGATTGTACCCGTATATCACACATGTTTTGGGCTGTATAAGTATGTCACACAGTTTGTTACAATATGTACGTTCTGGGGGTGTATCACACCATTTGTTGGTTATACAGGTGTATCACGCGGTCTGTACGTTCTGGGGGTGTATCACACCATTTGTTGGTTATACAGGTGTATCAAACGGTCTGTACGTTCTGGGGTGTATCACACCATTTGTTGGTTATACAGGTGTATCACACGGTCTGTACGTTCTGGGGCTGTATCACGCCATTTGTTGGTTATACAGGTGTATCACACGGTCTGTACGTTCTGGGGGTGTATCACGCCATTTGTTGGTTATACAGGTGTATCACGCGGTCTGTACGTTCTGGGGGTGTATCACACCATTTGTTGGTTATACAGGTGTATCACGCGGTCTGTACGTTCTGGGGGTGTATCACGCCATTTGTTGGTTATACAGGTGTATCACACGGTCTGTACGTTCTGGGGGTGTATCACACCATTTGTTGGTTATACAGGTGTATCACATGGTCTGTACGTTCTGGGGGTGTATCACACCATTTGTTGGTTATACAGGTGTATCACACGGTCTGTACGTTCTAGAGGTGCATCACACGGTTTGTTAGTAGTACAGATGTTGTGGCATGAAAAACTTTCTATGCAGTAGGTGGCTTTGCTTATTTACCTATTTTTTGGAATAGTTGGTAAATACAATTTACATATTACAGTGCTCCATATACAGGGAGTGCAGAATTATTAGGCAAGTTGTATTTTTGAAGATTAATTTTATTATTGAACAACAACCATGTTCTCAATGAACCCAAAAAACTCATTAATATCAAAGCTGAATATTTTTGGAAGTAGTTTTTAGTTTGTTTTTAGTTATAGCTATGTTAGGGGGATATCTGTGTGTGCAGGTGACTATTACTGTGCATAATTATTAGGCAACTTAACAAAAAACAAATATATACCCATTTCAATTATTTATTATTACCAGTGAAACCAATATAACATCTCAACATTCACAAATATACATTTCTGACATTCAAAAACAAAACAAAAACAAATCAGTGCCCAATATAGCCACCTTTCTTTGCAAGGACACTCAAAAGCCTGCCATCTATGGATTCTGTCAGTGTTTTGATCTGTTCACCATCAACATTGCGTGCAGCAGCAACCACAGCCTCCCAGACACTGTTCAGAGAGGTGTACTGTTTTCCCTCCTTGTAAATCTCACATTTGATGATGGACTACAGGTTCTCAATGGGGTTCAGATCAGGTGAACAAGAAGGCCATGTCATTAGATTTTCTTCTTTTATACCCTTTCTTGCCAGCCACGCTGTGGAGTACTTGGACGCGTGTGATGGAGCATTGTCCTGCATGAAAATCATGTTTTCTTGAAGGATGCAGACTTCTTCCTGTACCACTGCTTGAAGAAGGTGTCTTCCAGGAACTGGCAGTAGGACTGGGAGTTGAGCTTGACTCCATCCTCAACCCAAAAAGGCCCCACAAGCTCATCTTTGATGATACCAGCCCAAACCAGTACTCCACCTCCACCTTGCAGGCGTCTGAGTCGGACTGGAGCTCTCTGCCCTTTACCAATCCAGCCATGGGCCCATCCATCTGGCCCATCAAGACTCACTCTCATTTCATCAGTCCATAAAACCTTAGAAAAATCAGTCTTGAGATATTTCTTGGCCCAGTCTTGGCGTTTCAGCTTGTGTGTCTTGTTCAGTGGTGGTCGTCTTTCAGCCTTTCTTACCTTGGCCATGTCTCTGAGTATTGCACACCTTGTGCTTTTGGGCACTCCAGTGATGTTGCAGCTCTGAAATATGGCCAAACTGGGGGCAAGTGGCATCGTGGCAGCTGCACGCTTGACTTTTCTCAGTTCATGGGCAGTTATTTTGCGCCTTGGTTTTTCCACACGCTTCTTGCGACCCTATTGACTATTTTGAATGAAACGCTTGATTGTTCGATGATCACGCTTCAGAAGCTTTGCAATTTTAAGAGTGCTGCATCCCTCTGCAAGATATCACACTATTTTTGACTTTTCTGAGCCTGTCAAGTCCTTCTTTTGACCCATTTTGCCAAAGGAAAGGAAGTTGCCTAATAATTATACACACCTGATATAGGGTGTTGATGTCATTAGACCACACCCCTTCTCATTACAGAGATGCACATCACCTAATATGCTTAATTGGTAGTAGGCTTTCGAGCCTATACAGCTTGGAGTAAGACAACATGCATAAAGAGGATGATGTGGTCAAAATACTCATTTGCCTAATAATTCTGCACTCCCTGTAGAGAGAGAAGAAGTTATGGAGGAAGAGTTAAATTTGGAGAGTGGACTGAAAAGTAAAAAAAGAACAATGTTCACAACAGTTAGAGAGCAAAATGCGTAATACATATTATATATGACACACCTTGCTATGTATATCTATATACCCATCTAACTAGACCACTCATAAATGTTGTGATAGGCAGATATTTGAGGACTACTTTCAGTTTAATGCTCAGCTCGCCTTTTAGCGAAAGTCTGCCGTGGCAGGATTAGACTTGTTTATACACTGCACAAATCCCTAGAAAGATGGCTATAGAGAGCTATTACTGCACTAAGCTCTATTGCACTCTATAGGGGACGCTTCGGAAAGTATCATAAAAATGATGTAAAGTTTAAAATGTATTGCAGTTACCATGGAAACCAAAGGAATCAGTAGCAATATTCCACTGGTGATGACTACGTACAGTTAATTTTTAAACACTGTCAGGCAAGAATTTTAAGAAAGAAAATTAAAATTGGGGTATATTAGATGATTTTTGAAGCATGACATTTTTGCAGACAACATGCATACAGACAAAAATGTATGTAGGGAGTAACTACGATGTCACAAGATATTTTTTTAAAGGACCACTCTAGGCACCCAGACCACTTCAGCTTAATGAAGTGGTCTGGGTGCCAGGTCCAGCTTGGGTTAACCCATTTTTTTATAAACATAGCAGTTTCAGAGAAACTGCTATGTTTATGAATGGGTTAAGCCTTCCCCCAAAGCCTCTAGCAGCTGTCTCATTGACAGCCGCTAGAGGCGCTTGCGTGCTTCTCACTGTGATTTTCACAGTGAGAGCACGCCAGCGTCCATAGGAAAGCATTATGAATGCTTTCCTATGTGACCGGCTGAATGCGCGCGCAGCTCTTGCCGCGCTTGCGCATTCAGCCGATGGGGAGGAGAAAAGGAGGATCGGAGGAGGAGAGCTCCCCGCCCAGCACTGGGAAAAGGTAAGTTTAACCCCTTTTCCCCATTCCAGAGCCGGGCGGGAGGGGGACCCTGAGGGTGGGGGCACCCTCAGGGCACTATAGTGCCAGGAAAACAAGTATGTTTTCCTGGCACTATAGTGGTCCTTTAAGGGAGAAAAGGTTGTTTGTCTTTTTTTTTTTTTAAAAAACCATTGTTTTATCACTATCAACTTCTAGCAGAAAAATAAAATAATAAAATTAAATATTGATACAAAAATCACGTTTTACCAATAACCCAAAAATATTTTGTTAGATCGGATGTCATGATGTTTTGGTGTTTAATGTTTAACCAATAAGCTCAAAGTCCTATGTCTCTAAACCATATAGACTGGAATGTACCACGAATTGTAAATGAATACAATTTTCAATAAAATATATATATGTAACAGTTCATTAAATGTAATAATCTCATAAAACAGTTCAGCCTAATTAAAAAATGATCATCACAGAGGAAAATTGTCCTTGGATCCAGATAAACACGGTAAAGGTTCTAGGACCAACAGCAGATACAAATCGTGAGAGTTTTCTTAGGAATGATCAGATTCTTACTTTCTATTTTCACTCTCTCCATAAAAGATGTTTCAGCAAGACGTAGAGAGCAACATCCTTCTCTATTGACAGTTATGAACACAGCTAAATTCTTTTGGCCTGAGAAAAGACCTATTCTAGTTTTGCAGCATTTCCCTTGGGAAGAGAAAGATGACAGTCATTTTTTTTTTGTTTTGCAATAAAAATGCAATAAAAAATAGCATCATAGCATTCTCCACTTGTATATCTCCCCAGTGGTTTGTGGTACCTCTGCCCTGCAATCCTCGCTTCTCTCTCTATTCTTCCACTCCTGCAGTTATTAAACACAGTTGCTCTGCTCTAGACAAATGAAAGATATGTTTGCCCAAGGAAGACCACCACCCCATTGCTCTGTTTAAGAGAGCTAAGCTGGCGTGCCCACCTTCTGTCCACAGCACCCTGCCATAAACCTGACCCCCTCTGGCCTTGCCCCCTCGGATTCCATTCTCAATTATGTTTACTCAGAAATTTGCAGGGTTTTTTGAATGGTCTTTAAACTGCACAAATTCTTGTGGAAGACAAAAATTGAGAATTTTTTTGCATTTTTGGTTAAAAATGTTTTCATAAAATCATTCCAGTGTCTATGTGCCTTACATTCTGCATGAACTGGTATAAGTGAGGAGTTTTCTGCCTTTTTCGCTTGTTCCAAGGCTCGACTTCCAAACCTTTAATTAAATCAGCATGAATAAGGCTGGAGGGGCCTACGCTCAGTACATAGAGGCACAAGGTTACACACTAACGGGAGAGAATTTGCATCTTTCTGTCGCATTTCCACCTGCAGTAAAATGATTGATTGCTTGGAGAATCCACGTGTTTTAAACTCACTGGGGGTACTAGGTCACACTCCATACCATGGCTGGTTCTTTGAATTAACATATTTTTAACCTGAAGCTAAAGTTTTCGTATTGTGGATCCCGAAGCACCGCAAGCCTTGTTTGTATAACAGATTTATTAGAAGAGGAAAGACACAGTGGCCTGAATTCCGCTGAATAGCAGTATGAATAAAATGTTTGTAGAGCCCAGCCATCCAGCCCCAAAGGCTTTCAGGATGTTAAAAGGAATAAGAGACATTTCTATATAAGAGATTATTACTTGAAAATTGTGTTTCAAGCCAAGGGAGTGCCAACCAAGTTATAATGGGTCAGCTGAAGCAGGGTTACTGTTATTCAATATATTTCCATTTCCAGATCATAGGAGCTGGGAGTAGGATGTAATACAGATTATCCAGTATGTTCTGATAGTGGCGTAAAACTTCAGAAGATTTCAGATCCTCATAAGCCGCAATACCAGCCAGTACGTCCATATTCTTTCTTTGCAATGTTAACTACAGCTAAATTGAGGCCTTCATAAGCTGCCACATAGGCCAGTATAACCACATTTTTCAACTTTATAACAATGGGCTTAAAGGGACATTGTAGACACAATTACTGCTTTATCTCATTTAAGTGGTTATAGTGTCTGTTATCCCGTGGCACCAGTCTTCCATTCACTGTTAAACATTTTAGAATTCCCCAGCCACCCATTCCCTCTGCTGCATAGGTTAATGAGGAAGTGTTAGCTTGACCAGGGATGTGCGGCTATGATTGGCTGAGAGTGTCAGCTGATCATTTTCAGTCTATCACAGTACCCATTGGTGATACTAATTGGTATGGATAAAAGGAAGTGTGTAATCGCTGCCTTAACCACACCTCCAGTAGGGGCCGGGCTGTGGGTGACAGGAATAGGCGTTAAATTGCATGAAAATCGTTTAACATTAAATGGCAAGACAAAGCCAGGGGTATCCAGGCATAATAACCAATTCAATAAGATGAATAGGTTGGAGTACCTACAATGTCCATTTATTACAGCTAAATACTCCATTATTATTGAAAATTCTCTAATGTACACAGAATGTCTAAATGGATAAATATCCAATTGGTTTTCAGAGCTCCGAGAAACAGCCTGATGACCTATGCACCCGGATGTTTTTAGAATGGCTGGATATTTTTTTTTTCTCTCTTGTTCTTTGCAATTTAGAATTTGTGTTTGTTTAATTACAATTTAATTAGCAGTTAATATATACATATGATTTGCACTGGGCAGACTTTTATTAACCTACTAGTAGTTAAAGCTTCTAGAGTGTTGGTTTAATTGTAGTTGCTACTGTATCTCTATATCTCTACATATCATATTGGTATGCATCTCTTCCTATACTATCGGTGGAAGCACCTCTAGCTGGTGATGTCAATAAAATAATTTCCCTCAAATTGAAATTTGAAATCAATAAATGATAGATTTTTTAGAAATCCCTTTTATTGTTTTATTGTTTTTTTTTTATTTTTTATCTTTGATCGTCACACTGGGCCGAACAGAGATCAGTTTTTTCGCAGCATGGGTCAGTAAATGGAGTCATTTTTGTCTTCCATGAACCCTTGCCTGACTGCACCCTACTGCAATACGCTCACCGGATATTAAAGGGTTTCTGCATCAGACAGTAATTTGCTCGGCTTACGATAAGTTTTATGAGAAGCTGCTATAATCCCTCCTCATGTCACAGGATCACAGGATAAACTCAATCGGTTAGGAAAACATTGCTGGGCACACACTCCTGGGGCTCTTCTCCCGGCAGTTACATTCATTAACTAAACCCAGCAGGTACCTTACACAAAGGTCTTGGTGAAAGGGGCAGATATTGGCTACATTAAAAAATGACTATAACGAAGAAAAAAAACAAGCCATAACCTTGGGTAATTAACCGTTTCACTGTTATAAAAATAATGCCGAATTGTCCTTTAGAATGCTAAAAAGAAGGCATTGTTCTTCGCAGAGTGCTCAACTTGCCGTGCAATGAGAGTGGTTCAGTGGGCTGATCTTTAGGTCACACGCACTACTCGTGGCAGAGAGAGTCCTCGTTCATTACATGCAGAGTTTATGCACTGGCCTCGTCAGATAACCTTCCTCTCAGGACGAGCTGTGCTTAAAGTGAACACATTTTTCTTCTAGATCATTACGTACTGAGGCTGGGAGCCGCCACCTGAGACAGTCAAGGAAGGTGGCTCTCAAGATGAGGAACAAGTGATTTGTCTTTGGAGGGCAGGTGGAAAGGAACAACGGCTGGAGCAAAGCAAGATCTCCTCCTTCTACGTGGGATAGGAAGGT